CACGCTGAACTGAATATCACATTAAAGAATCTTTGCACACACAGTAATTGTCATAATAGTATTTCTGCAGTATATTTTGCAATTCTACATGGCATAATTAATTTTAATCCAAACAAAACGATAACATTTGCCTGGAGTATACATATTTCCTAGTACTGGTTCATTTTTTAGTCGGCACTAAGCTACAGGAAGTGCTAACTGTTAGTTTGGTGATTAGTAAAGCAGCTATATTTACCACAGTGAAAACACTGAAACGTAGCTGTTATTCCATCAGTAAGATGGTTTTTCTATCAAAAAGTTGAATGCTGCATTGAATAGAACTTATTGTAAATTTTTTTTGATGGAAGTCATTGCTGTTCACAGCCAATAGCTACTCATTGATATTGTTCTAGCATCTGTTAGCAGAAGTAACAGAAAAAATGCTTGAGCTTTCAGCCTTCAACTCTCGAATTTGAATGACATTTTTTTCATATATAGAAAATTCACTTTTATGGAGCATGTCTGAAGGGACTGCTTTGGTATTTAGCAAAATGCAGTTGGTGGAAATCTTTTGGCTCTTAGAAAAACAGTTTAGCGTCTGAACTAGATCCCTCTAAAATGAATGAATTACTTTTTTTCAATTATTTTTAGATCTTGTAATAATGCTGTGAGCAGTAAAATTTTATTTCTTTTATTTGAAATATTTTTAATGCTATCAGCTGTAGTTTTTAAGGAAAATCTCTGAAACACAAAATCTGTCAAATGGTCTGAATTTTACAGAAGTCTAATTCCATTTTGAGACCTGCAAGCATTACAACTCTGCAGATGCATTATGGTGTCACTTATGATACTCGCATGTACGGTAGTCAGTGTCATGACTTAAAAGATAATGGATTAGAAATTTTGCATTTTTGCAAATTTGGTGTTGAAACAGCTGAATTTTGGCTAAAATTACAAAACAATCATTCACAAACCAGCAGAGAAAATACTAAATCTATCTATTATTGTTTCTGCACAGTCCTCGACAAACCCATATAAATAAATAGTTTTTGTTTCTATTTTATGCTTTTATTTGACCATGGGAAAAGGGTCATTCAATTTCCAAAACCGTAGACCAAACTCATCGCTTCTCAAAAGCCTCGCTTTCAGTCACTGCTTCAGAGTTTCTGAAATACAAGAGATTTCTATGAGAGCTGAAGAGGTGAAGTGCTTGCAGAGAAACTTGTGTTGTAATTTGCTTGTGACTTGTTAGAATACATGCATGGAAAATTCAACATTTCTTCATTTAAGTTAAGAAGCAAGCTATTTGCCATGCACCATCATGCTGGCTAAATGTGTTTTGTTTTTATTTTCACATTTTGCCCAATTATACTACATATTATCTCTTCATCAATATGTTTCATTAGTGCAGATGACTCTTCTGCTTTTCATTTGCACGAGCATCACAGATTGTCACTTCGTATTTGTAACCATACAAGGGAACCTTTGATGTGCTGCTTGATAAGTTGAGTTTTTTCATTGTTGTTTTTTAGAGCCTTGCTTTACAGTTGTGAACTGTTATTAAATGTCTTTTGTATATCTGCTCTTAAACAATTCTAATCTACTAAGTATCACATATCATAGGGTTTCAGATTAACGCACATTTATGCTTTGTTCATGGAATCAGAAAGACTTCTGATGTTAAATTTAAACTCGTCAGAGATATGAAGAGCATTAACAGCCCTGTTTAAGCCACTTTAATCCAACCCTCGTTTGTTTCTTGAGAAAGTCTGGTGTGATGGAGGATGTTAATCAACATCTGATACAGACCAAAAAAGCAAACTCTGGTATGTCTACAAACCTCGCCTCAGTTTGAAGTGAACTCTGGTGCGAACTGTAATTGGACAGGAGATCACTCCAAAAGAAGCAAGCATTCTATAGTTGTGAGTAAATGCAACCAAAACAAGAACAAATCTATCTCGTCGGAGAAATGGCTGTGGGCTTTTGCCAAAGACAAAATTGAAATCTCCAACCACTAAAATCACATTTGTTTACTACGTACAGCCGACATGACACTGGGGTCATGTGTGCTGTACATGCAGACAAGTTCACTGTCAAGCTTTACAGTTAGGCTCTACTTTATCTTTCTGTCGTATAAAATACACTTAGGGTTATATTTTTGTCAAGCAAAACTTCTATTTCCTCCTTTTGTTTTAAGAAAGTCTGAATCTCTGGGTTGTCAGAAATTTAGCAGCATCAGAAATGTTTGTTGGATCACAACTGAGCGAGAGCACATGAGATTAATGGGTGTAAAATGGTTAAATAAGCTCTCTATGTCATCCAAGAGTCAAGTTTGTTAAAGAGATAGAGTAGGAAGAGGAAAAAAGCAAAGTGCTAAAGAAAAATGTGTCAGAAAAAGCAAAACTGAGTAAAGATAAAGAGCAAGAATCAGAAAATGATGTCGGTGCAATGAAGCTATCAACATTATCCTGGCAGCCGGATGGCTGTGGTGCTGCAGACACGATGTGACTTCCTGTTTGTTGCTGCGTAGAGGAAGTAAGAGGCCCCTCGAGGACGGTCTGAAGTGTGAAGCAGAGTTGTGAGTATTTTTGTTTGGTGGAACAGGGTGATTCAAGTGTGAAAATGGATGCATGTGCATTAAGCTCTAACACATGTGTTTATAGCAGCAGAGTTCTTCACTTTTGTTGTTTTGGCAGTAAATAAAAATCTGAAGTTGGAGACTTTATCTTTTTATTTTCTCTTGTTCTCTTCAAACTCTCTAAGAAGTAAGTTGTAAAGTTTGATTTAGAAGTTTAGAATCCAGGCAGAATTGGGATGGGGAAGTAGCTATGTGGGATTTGTTTGCTCATGTCATTGTGACAATGATGTAGCACAGGATTGTGGGATATTTTACTGAAGCACAGCAGCATCATCTGCAGTGTAGTCATTTTTTACAGATGTTGAAAAGTAATAAAATAACTATCATGTTAATTATAGGTTATCAACCATCAATCCAATATTAATATTGGTGTTGGCCTAGATTTTCATTTGTCATTTTATTTTGGTTGCAATAAATACCTGAATTTATTGTTTTTTTTTTTGTCCCCATCAACCAGCTGTAGTGTGACAGTCTCAGGCTCTTCCAGGACTGAGGAGCAGTAATAGATTTTGGCGGTTAGAGGATTTCTCTTTTGTTTTTGGCTAAACACCACGAGCCATTTCTCCCCCTAGTGCTAGCTTAGCGTGTTTGTTTTGTTGTGTAAATGCAAAGGAGATTTACCCAGAAGGTCCTGTGCTGTACTCCACTTCCTGCTTCTAGAGTGGTCTCTGGTACCCTTAGTGTTCACATATGCATTCAGCCAAACCCAGACTGAGATTTCTAGGCAGATCAGTCTTTCTTTTCTTTTTTGATCTGCATTGGAGTTCGATTTCATCCACACATACCCTAACAAACCAGACCTTCTAGACAAATTAGAGTTGGATTAAAGCAGAAAAATGTCTGTCAATTCTTCCTAACATAGCTCTACAAGGAAGAGTGGGCAAAATATGACACTAGTTTCCAGCTATCACCTAGCTTGACTTGTTGCAGCAACGGTGACACAACCAGTCAGTAGCTTTAGAGAACTTTACTGTTTCACACAGTCAAGTTGGTTTAAATGCGTCTTTTACTTCATTTAATGAAATCATCATCATCCATCCATCCATTTTATTACGTCCTTATCCCATTGAGGTCAGGAGGAGTCCTGGTGTTGGTACACCCTGGACAGGACGCCAGACCATCGCAGGTGAAATCATCATTTAAAAACTCATTTTAAACAATTATGGTTATCTTACTGATATTAAAATTAAAAGATGTTGAGCCTTTTAGTGTGACAAAAGACAGAGGGGTTCAAACTTTAACATTGTGGTTTTGTTAGGAATATGATGCATTTATTGTTAAATTGACATAATTGGCTCATCTTAAGCCCAAGTCTTTAGCAGTTTGTCAGAAACTAGACTGAGAATATTTACAGGCTAAATGGAGAGAAGCAGGTTTTAGGGAACTTATCCTTCAAGTTCCTGCTCTCTTCAACAGAATATTTCATTGTGTTAGCTTTTTCTTGTACTTTCACAAACTTTTGTAATATTAGGACTTTTTTGTCATACAAATCCATGTGTATTTAAAACTTTGTCTTGTATTCTGACTTTATTTTTGCAATATTATGAGTTTATTCTCATGTTGTTCCATCTTCATTGCAGTATAAGCAGACCTTATTCTCATAATGACATTTTTTTTCTCAGCCTGTCCCTAGTACTCTGTCGTAACAACATATGCCCATCAGTGTTGAGTGGAAATATTTGAAACGGCTTCAGTTGTTTCATGTTGGTGACAGACTGTTGCAGCCGTTTTTCAACCAACAGCTCTTCAGTGTTCAACAAACAAAAGACTTCTCCTCTTAGTAATATAGTCTGCTCACATCATTGTTTTCTCAGGCATTTCATTTAAATTATTGTAACCTGAAGAACCGTATGATTAATACGGTTTTAAAACTCTGATGCGAGTTCTCACTCACACTTCATTCACACTTTACTTTTCAATGTTCTGAACATGTTTTGGGGGGTTTTTCACCAGGTTGATTAAAATTTCTAGATGAATCCAAAACTAATTCTCCAAATTTTTAGAATTTTAATGGACATGTTAAGTTCATGAAGAACCCCTTCAGTGTTTTTTGTTGATTTGGTGGATTAAAAGAGGAAAAAACATTCACCATTACCATTAAACATGAGGGCAAAATGAGAAGTAAAAAATGGAAACTTCCACATATTGTGATGAAGTTAGTTTATATTTAAATGCTGACTGATATTCTGCTGAGGAGATTTTCTCTGTTCTATCAGACGTTTTCACTTTTTTCTGCACCTTGGAAGTAGGTGTCTCAGATTATACTCTACCCTTTAGTCAGACGGATTTAACTCTACATTACTTTGAGCGCCTTAAAATTGGACTTGGTTGTGATTTGAATGCAACGTTTGGTGACTATGTGTGTGTTCTGTGACAGGTTGAGGAATCCAACGCAGATAGGGACCAGCTAAGAGCAGAAGATGCCAGCTCCGCCTCCCCGCCTCCTCCAGGGCCGCCACCTCCTCCCACTCTGGCTCTAGTGAGTCTCTGTTCCCCTCAGATGTCATGCTCAGCAGAGACATCTAGTGGACAAACCCAGTTTATGGCAGAATCAATGTATGGATTGGGACTTAACAGCTGTACCCTAAAAATATATATTCTCTAACAAAAAAATTAAAGCTCCAATGTTGAAGCTGAGGGTTTTTTTTATGTGCAAGCGCATTATTTTAGGAATATGACGATATCAAGGATTGGATCAGAAAACTGTAAAAATGGGACACATGTTGATTTTTTTTTCTTTCTGGTTCCATTTATTAATAATAATAATAATTTAACTCAAGAATTAATATTTGATTTAGTTTATATACACACTGACATATTCTGTGGGTTTCTACTAATTGGAATTATTATAGCTGATCCAAAGTTCAATTTCTTAAAATATTGGAATATTGACTAAAATCAATTAGAAAATATATATTTTTAATGATATAACGTTTGACATGGCTATATGGTTATATGGAAGACGATGACAATGATCATCGTCTTCCATCGTCTTCCCACACGGACAGGGTCACCTGGAAAGGTTACCAGTTCATCACAGGCCATTAAATCACAAAGTCAAATTTGACTTCTGGATTATGCTATAAAATGTCACTATGTGGTGGAAAAACTCATGATACTTGCCCTTTACTGATTTTGTGCATCTGTCCACTGCCATTATTTTAACAATGCTGATATGAATTTAATTTTAATTAGAATTTTCTAAATAATATTTTCTGCAGCTTTGGTCATTTCTTCCTTTGAATATTTTGAGTTGTTTGTGTTTCAGGCCAACACAGAGAAACCGACTCTGAGCCGAACAGAGCAGCAGGGACGTGGCGCTCTTCTGTCTGACATTTGCAAAGGCGCCAGACTAAAGAAAGCCGTCACAAATGACCGCAGTGGGCCTGTTTTCGACAGTAAGTCGGCGCATCTCATTGGCACCAACATGTATACCTGTATCCCAAAGAAAACCAGCTCATTTCCATTATCGCTTGATTACAATGTCACCAGATGACCTTTGACCCCATCCAATCACTGAATAAGTGTTTAAAACAGATAAATGTGTGGATGTGCCAAAACTTTTTCCAGCTGAACAAAAACAAAACTGAAGTCATTATTTTTGGACCTAAAGAGGAATGATCTAGAGCTATAGATCTAGAGTCAATGCACAGCTTCAGATATTACAACTAAAAACTAGCAATTAGGCCCTAAACCTGGGAGTAGTGATGGACTCGGACTTGAACCTTCAGAGCTACTTAAAGACAATTACAAAGTCGGCCTTCTATCACCTGAAGAACATCTCCAGGATTAGATGTTCTTCAGCCAGATCTAGAGAAACTCATCCATGCGTTTATCTTTAGTCGCATTGATTATTGTAACAGCGTCTTCACAGGCCTGTCCAACAAATCAATCCTCCAGCTGCAGCTGATCCAGAAGCTGCTGCTCCTGTTCTCACTAAAACCAGGAAGATAGAGACATAACAGCAGTTTTAAAGTCCCTCCACTGGCTCCCTGTAGCTCAAAGAATAGATTTTAAAATACTGTTGTTAGTTTATAAATCACTGAACGGTTTAGCACCACAATACATCAAAGATCTGCTGTTGTTGTATCAACCTTCCAGACTCTCAGGTTCTGGTTCTGGTCTGCTCTGCGTCCTCAGAACCAGAACCAAAAGAGGAGAAGCAGCTTTCAGCATCTATGCACCAAAAATTTGGAACAAACTTCCAGAAAACTGTAAATCAGCTGAAACTTCCTTTAAATCTCCACTAAAAACGCACTTGTTTAGAGTTGTATTTGAAACGTAATCAATTAAAAATGTAATGATGGAACAATGTATTGTTTATTCTACTTTGTGTTTTTTTTTTATTTATGATGTAAGGCACTTTGAAATGCCTTGCTGCTGAAATGTGCTGTACAAATATAACTTGATTGATTGATTGCATTGAACTGGGCATGAGGGGCTGCGCACCACATCTCCTTCTTTGCCGTCTGTTGACCTCAAACTCTTATTTCCAAATAATTGTAAATTTTTGCAACTTTTTAACACTTTTCAACACAAAAACTCTGGGAACTGACCCAACACCCCCACCACTGGGCACAGCGATGTTTTCTGAAGGAAACCCTGTACAACCTTTTATGATAAACAAAATAGTATGTCTTTCTTTTTATTTGAAAAAGCCCAAAGGTATCACCAATACCATGGCACAAACGACCAACTCCTTCCCTATGTTGGCTTTCAGTGCACTTATTTTACCCCATATGTCCAGTTTGAACGTTATAGAAACAGACAACACTACTATCACGCATTGAGACAGTTTTTCTTTCTTCTCAGAACCCAAAGGAGGAAGTGGAGGCAGTGCTGGAGGAGGAGGTGGAGGTGGTGGTGGTGGTGGTGGTGGTGGTGGTGGTGGGTCTCCTGCTGGTTTAGGAGGCCTCTTTGCAGGAGGGATGCCAAAACTGAGGTCTGCAGCAAACAGAGACAATGGTAAGAAAAGTTGTGAAGAGCAAAAACTATGACAGAAAAAGATCCTCATTAGGTTTAAGACAGTTTCTGATTTTCATTCCAAGACTCAGGACCCAGCCGTGGGCCTGTTCTTCCTCCGGGTTCCCGTTCTGGTGGACCCAGTCCTTTCGGCGGCGGCGGCAGTCCATCCGGACCGCCGAAGCTGCCAGCCATCCCTGCTGTGCCTCGTGGCGGCGCCCCTGATCTCCCAAAGGGCCGTTCTAATTTGCCATCCAGACAGGACACTCCAGGTGGACCACCTCCCCCAGTACCCAACACCCCCAGGCCACCGCAGAGCCTCCAGTCTCGTGGGGGGCCCTCTCCGCCGTTGCTTCCCGGAGGACCCAGGCCCAGTCACGCCAGCTCCCCAATGCCGCCCAGTGTTCCACCAGGGAGGCATGGGTCTCTTCCTCCCCCTCCCCCACCAGGGGGATCCTCCGGTGGGCCGCGGTCAAGCTTCTCCGCGCCCCCTCCTCTGCCTTCAAACAGCACCCGACCTCCATTACCTCCAGCTCCAGGAGGGAGGCCTCCGCTTCCTGACGACCGACCGCCGCCACCGCCGGCTCCTGGTGGAGGTCACCGACCGTCAATGCCCCGCGACATGCCCCCGCTTCCCCCGTCCATCAACTCCAAACCTTCTGCCTCGCCTTCATCAACGGGTCGCTCCCTGGCTGGCAGCGGGGTGCCCCCTCTGCCTCCAGGACGACCGGGCCCGCCTCCAATCCCGCCTGGCCAAGGAGGAGGAGAAGACCAAAACACACCCCGCCTGCCTCAGAGGAACAGCTCACTCAACAGGTAAGATTTGGATCAAGAAATCAAATTTATTGTTCAACTTTTGCTCCAAACATCCTTTAAAATAAAAAAAATCAACAATTCTAGAATTGCGCTGCTGAGGTTGGCGGCACGTTGGAGCAGCTCGGTACTCTCATTGAGATTGTTTTTCTCTTTTTCCAACATTCATTCCTGTCTTTTGGAGGAAAACGGCTTTTTTTGGAACAACTCTTCTTTCTTCTTTGAATATTATGTCGTTGGACTTATTTTGGTCATCCATCCATCCATTCTCTGATCACCCTTTTCCCTATTGGGGTCAGGAGTTGCTGGTGCCTATGTCCAGCTGCGCTCTGGGCGAGAGGCGGGGTTCACCCTGGACAGGTTGCCAGACTGACGCAGCTTATTTTGGTCAATGTTTGTCATACCTTTGCTGCTTTGTTATTATATGTAACCCCAGCAACAAGGTGGTTTATACCAAAGAGCAGCTCATCAACATCGGAAAAGCTGAAATAATACCACAGCTGAAGCCAGAAATCAGAGAGGATTGAAAAGGAAGGATTGTGGATGGAGAGCAGGAGCCCAGAGGAGAGAGATGTTGGGATGGCAACATCAAACCCTGGGACCTAAAAAGGCTCAACAGCCTGATAAAGAAGGCTGGTTCTGTTCCGGTTCTGTTCTGGCACGACTGTGGAACCTCTGGAGATGATTCTGCACAGAAAGATTCTTCATAGGATCAAAAAAAAAGTGATTGACAACCCTGAACATTCTCTTCACGAGTGAAGAGGATGTTCATTCTCCCACTTTGTCTTGGGAGAACAAAGTGTTTTCAGTCAGAGGCTTCTTCGGATTCACTGTAATACAGACTGCTACTTGAGATCCTTCCTTGAGACAGCCATCATCATCTATTGTAGCATAGTCGTTTCCAACTTTTTGTCATATAGGCCAAATAGTCTAGTCAGAACTACTTGCAGAAAGAAATTTCTAAAACAGTTGAAAAAGATATCAAAGCCTTCTTTCAATTTTTACAGCAAGTCTTTAGACTTCTTGTAAAATTGGATGTGTAAGTCATAATCCCAGAAATTCAAAAGACTTTTGTGTTAAGGGGCAGCATCATGTAAAATCTTTTTTTTTCTTTCTTTTTTTTTTTTTTTAGCTTTGCATCATGCTATCATTTTTGCAACCATTTATCTGCAAGGTCCTGAGTGGACCTTGCCCCGCCTTCAAGACACAGCCCCTCCCCTACTGAGCTCCTTCAGACTAGCCAGCTACAATAAACAGATACCTCCTGGAACTGCTGAGCTACTTCTCAAAGTAATGCTGGTAAAATTGTTAAAGGTTTAAAAGAGGAGCAATGTTGGGATGATTTTCTTAAGTCGGCGCTTCAGAAAAAGCAGAAGTTTTTAAAGAGACAGAGACCCAATTTCAAATTTCTTTGAAGTCATATTTAATCTGGATGTGCTGTGGTGGCGTAGGGGTTTAGCACAACCCACATATGGAGGCCCTAGTCCTCGACGTGGCCGTTGCGGGTTCGACTCCCGGCCCCGGTGACATCTGCCACATATCTTCCCATCTCTCCGTTCCCCTCTTCCTGTCAACATACCTTCAAAAAATACAGGCCACAAGAGCCAACAAAATCCTCAAAGAAAAAAAAAGTGATATTTAATATACTCAGCATTTTTATAACAAATGAAGGTAACATAGTTACTTCATTGAGCTATAAAATGTCACTGCATGCCTGGAAACGCGTAATACTGCTCCGTGAAGAAAAAAATGATCAAAATGGATGTTTTTTTAATCACTTCCAGCCACACTCCAGCACCCCCTTCTGGTCGATCAGGACCCCTTCCTCCTCCTCCAAATGAGAGACCACCATCTGTTGGAAGAAACCAGTCATCACCACGCACAGGTAACCCACCAGTTGTCACTTCTTTTCAAACAATAGATAAGAAATATAGAAAATTGTTGTTTGTTTAATGAATAAAATTCATTCTTCCTCCAAAGGTCCTCTTCCTCCACCACCTCCTTCAGGTCGCAGCATGGGCGTAGGCAGCCTAAGAGCAACCCAAGCAGCCCCGCCCATCGGTCGGCCAGGCCCAGAGCCTCCTCGTGGCGGCCCTGGCAGTAGGCCCCCCCTGCCGCCAGACAGGCCCGTTGGGGGACTACCACCTCCACCACCGATGGGGAATGGCTTCCAAAACTCTCACCACAACCAAATGCAAGGTCTATAAACCTGTCAATGTGCTAACTTTAGTTTAGAGAAAGACTGAAAAATGAAAATGAGCAATATAAATTGAAGAGTAAAGTTCATAACTCCAGTGTAATACACCTGATACCACAAGAATCTGTTCATATTATGTCACAAATCCAATGCGCAATTCCCTTTTCTTGAGTATTTACCAAAAAACTTTAAGAAGCATGCATACTTTCATTTCACAATTACAAGCTATTTTGAGTTGACATTTTCTTTAAAGTCATGGGAAGACAGAAGAGGGTTAGTTGTTGAGAAGTAAGAAAATATGGACAGAACCCTTAGCGCACAGATGTCAAACTCCAAACCTCAAGGGCCAAAATCCTACAGTTTTTGGATGTGCCACAACACTGGAATGAAATTGTTTATTTACCTCCTTTTTATGTAGAAAAGTTCTTGAGAGCCTTGCTAATGACCCATCCATCCATCCATCTATCTATCTTCTGCCGCTTATCCGGGGTCGGGTCGCGGGGGTAGCAGCTTAAGAAGGGAGGCCCAGCCACTTCTTCCAGCTCCTCCAGGGGAATCCCGAGGCGTTCCCAAGCCAGCCGAGAGACGTAGTCCCTCCAGCGTGTCCTGGGTCTTCTCCGGGGCCTCCTCCCGGTGGGACGTGTCCGAAACACCTCACCAGGGAGGCGTCCAGGAGGCATCCTGACCAGATGCCTGAGCCTCAACTGGCTCCTCTCGATGTGGAGGAGCAGTGGCTCTACTCTGAGTCCCTCCAGGATGACTGAGATTCTCACCCTATCTCTAAGGGAGAGCCCAGCCACCCTATGGAGAAAACCCATTTTGGTCGCTTGCATCCTAGATCTCTTTCGGTCATGACCATGACCATAGATGAGGGTAGGAACGCAAATCGTGAGCTTTGCTTTTTGACTCAGCTCTCTCTTCATCACGACGGACCGGTACAGCGCCCGCTTCACGGCAGACGCTCCACCAATCCGCCTGTCGATCTCCCGTTCCCTTCTTCCCTCATTCGTGAACAAGATCCCGAGATACTTGAACTCCTCCACTTGAGGCAGGACATCTCCCTCGACCCAGAGAAGGCACTCTACCCTATCTGACTAAAGACCACGGCCTCGGACTTGGATGCACTGATCCTCATCCCGGCCGCTTCACGCTCGGCTGCAAACTGCTCCAGCGAGAGCTGCAGATCACGTCCTGATAACGCCAATTGGACCACATCATCTGCAAAAAGCAAAGATGCAATCCTAAGGCCACCAAAACAGATCCCCTCAACACCCTGGCTGCGCCTAGAAATTCTGTCCATAAAAGTAATGAACAGAATCGGTGACAAAGGGCAGCCCTGGCGGAGTCCAACCCTCACCGGGAACGAGCCTGACTTATTGCCGGCAATGCGGACCAGACCCTGACAGCCCATCTCAAAGAGCTCAAAGAGCTCTTTTACCTATGGAGCTCTGATAGCTCCATAGGTAAAAGCCCGGCCACCAGGCGCTCGCCAACGTGCCCCACCTCCAGGCCTGGCTCCAGAGTGGGGCCCCGGTGACCCGCATCCGGGTGAGGGAACACGAGAGCCAAAGTTGCCTTTCTTCATAGGGGTCTTGACCCAGTTATTCTATTCACGTGGTGCAGCAGAGGCACATCTAAAAGTTGCAGGACACCGGCCCTTGAGGACTGGAGTTTTACACCCCTGCCTTAGGGCATGAATACTTTTGTATTTTGTATTTGACACCATACACATTATGAAAGCCTGATTTAGAAAAAGTCCAGTGGAGCATTTTTCAGACTGATTGTGTTGCCATCATTTTTGTTTTTACCACATGCTTCATTTAAGGCAGGAAACCCCGACCTCCAATTAAATTTTTTGTCTTCAATCAATCACAAAGGTGGCTTCATTCTGGAAGGCAGTGGGGGGACAAAAGTTTCTGCCTAAAACAGCGGAGGGTTCTAGATCCCATTCATAGCACCTTTAAAAAACTGGTTCAGCTCCATTTGTTTTGCGTCATGTTGGATCGATCATCCAGTCTAATGGCGATAATTTCTCTGGTTTCTTTCATTCAACAGATGACTTTGAGTGCAGGTTCACCTTTCATCCCATTTCGGACCTTCCTCCACCTGACCCCTATGTGCCCTCGCAGAAAACCTACCCCAGTAAGATCTCTAAGACAGAGAGCAAAGGTGAGTAACACAATGTGAAAACATATTTTTTGTTTATGTTTTTCATGCAGTATGTGAAGACTAGCTCACATGTTGTCAATGTCAAATTTAGCAGACTGTTCCAAACATTTATTTTGCAATAAGACGATAAAGGACCCAATGCACTTTATCTTAATGATGACAATTTTCATTTGGGGAAAAAAAATATTCTAGACATCCACTATTAAACATCTTCAAGACAGTGAGCTAACAGCCCAAGTTTTTCCCTGTTTAAAGGGCAGATAAATCTGCTAATTATCTGCAAGGCAGTGAAAAGAAGTTAAAGTGTGCAAAAATGTATTCCAGGGGCAACATAGAGAGTGAAAACAAGAGGTTCTCAACATTCAGCTTGAGGTACACCATAGCTAACTAAATAGAGATTATGTTCACATAAGAGGTACTTCCAAACAAATATGACTGGAAACAAACTCCAAACTGTTTTCATTGTCCAAAATATTTTGTGTTTTCACATACATTTTTGAGAAATGCTAGGTACAAAATAATATTTAAGTTTTTAACAGGAACACTTTTTGGCTTCATACCAGCAGAAACATGAAAAATGCTTTTTACTTGTTTTTGAAAACAGTCTTTGGTGCAGAGGTTTGGTGATTTCTGCTCAACGTTTCTCTCAACAAGTGCTACCTTCTCACTGATTTTACAAATTGCCACTTTATGGTCATTCCAAATTGCTTTCACTTTTCTCAATCCCTCTACAACCGATGGAAGGTGTGAACTAAAAAACAACAACTGTTGAAAGGGTTTGTACATTTATTCATCCAGGATTTTAAAAAATTTTCATTCTAAACTAGATATTTCCTTTTAATATGAGTCATGCAGCGCTTATGTCACATTAAATGTGGAAAAAGTGAATTATGGTCTCATTTTTTTCAATCTCTGAAACCTTTACAAAGAAATGAATGTCTTCATATTTGTGTCACAGCACCATATGGTGGAGGAACATATTCTGTGCATATGTTCCATCTTAAAAAACACATTCTGTTAATTGATTCTGTAATTTCCAGGTTCTGGTAAAAAAGAGCGAGGCGCTCCTCCCCTTCCCCTATACCCAGGTGAAGTAAAGATGGCTGCCTCTACAACACTTGGACCTTCCACCTCTTCCTCTCTTCTCATCTCTCGCTTTCTCAGTTGACCAGAAGTCCTCATGTGAGGACCACAAGGCTCCAGGAATTCAAATAAAAGCACAGTGGAGGTCACACCATATGCCTCTGTTGTAGAGAAATGGTTTATTTTGTACATTTATGCGCTGGGGAAATTATTTGTTTTGGGGTTGTTGTTTTTTTTATACATTTATAACCATGCTGTTCCTGGAAGCCTTCATTGATTTTGATACTTAAATTTTGTTCTTGTAATGATTCTATTTCCTCTGTTTTCAGTTGATGCCATAACTGAGTTTTGGATTTTTATAACCCTAACGCATCAGGAAATCAATCAAGGTGCCTTAGATTCAGACAAAGACAAAGTTCAAATGATCTCAGCCTCTCTGTGTGCCTCTACAGCATGAATGTAGACTTAGTTTTTTTCACCACTTTGTTTCTGCTACAACCACTGGAGCGGTACGTTTTAATTTTGCGAGGATGCTTGATGTGTTTTCATGGACATTTCTGCAGAATTTTACATCATGATTGAAAAATCTTACTGAATATTGTTTTGTTAAATTGTCTTGATGCACAGCAGAGTCTGTATGTATCTTTATGATGTAATCAGCTGATATTGAACTATGGGATAAGTTTTGTTTGCAGTGTTATGTTCGCTATAATATTCTGCTTTGTTTTGTTTCAAAGAAATGTTTTCTGTGAGGTTGTCATCTGAAAGGAAACTATTTGCATTTAAAATGCTTACTTTAGGTGAAAAAGGGGAATGCTTTTATTAAATCATACACCAATATTCCTGAACAATTCCTGTTTGGGAATAGAAAAGGACAGTGAGCAGAAAAGTCAATTAGATAAACAATATCTTACCACATAAGCCATATTATTCATTTTCATAAATGTGCAATAAAGAGGACAATAAATGTAAACAAAGGTGTTTTAAACTTGTTTGTTGTAAAATGATCTCTACTAAAATACAGATCAATTTAATTTTAAATATTACTAAAAAGTCCACTTATGTTAGGAATTTTATCACTAAACCATATGTTGATTATTGACACACTTGTTTTCCAGTATTTATTTCTGTTAATTATAATAGTTTTCCACTTAATTATTTCCAAACTACATATTTAGTTGAAATAATTAATTTGGACCTAAACAATTAGCTTCGATGTGGATTAATTATTTAGCTTGGAAATATGACATTTATAGATGTATGAAACATATGGTGAACTTATTTGGAGCTCCATAATATGGAGCTAAAACAGTTTCATAATTTACAAATGCACAAAACAAGATTCAGACTGTATTTGTGATGCAAACGCAAATATATCTTGATTTACAAGCTGCTCCTTACAGAGCCCTCTTGGGGGTATAGTGAAACGATTTTCTTTTGCATTCCCTTGCAAAAGTTTTGTTTCCTCACATTATGCTTACTGCAATATTTGATGGTCTATTTCAAATGCAGTTAAAAATGTCAATTTTGAATTTCAAATTTGCACACATTTAAGAGCCTCAGTGAAAACATTTATTCTTAACCCTTTGGTACAATAATTGATTAAATAATTTGGTTGGATGTATTGGATGTAGAAATTTGTATTTATTTCCTACTTATGGAGATTTTTAGTTTATATCATAGGTTTGTGGTACATTTCTAGCCTAAAGAAAAAGATATAAAGCTTAAAATATTTCTTGAGATATTAATATTAGACCTGTCACGATAACAAATTTTGCTGAGTGATTAATTGTCTCAAAAATTATTGCAATAAATGAGAATATTGTTTGAAAACCATTTTAAACCGATGTAATGGTAATGACGTAATATTTTACTGAGCCCCGTAAGAGACATAAGGAATTTTTTTCTAATGCGTTCCCTTGCAAAACTTTTGTCCCTCACAATACTGCACTGATCAGTTATGCAGCATAATTAAATACTGAAAGCCTTTCTTAAGGTGGCCGCTGTACTTTCTGCTTTAATGTAAGATTTTGTGAGGTTTTTTCATGAATGTTAATATCTCTTTGTGAAATGGCGGAAGTTTTATATCTTTTTCTTTAGGAAAGAAAGGCACCATAAGCCTATGATATAACCAGAGACTTTCCCTAAGTAGGAAAGAAATATAAATAAATCCAAACTATTTGGACTATTTCTGAGCTATAAGTCATCTGACAGTTTTAATTGTCTCTGTTGTGTTCTAGTCTGAATGGTTTAAACTAAAGGAACGTTTTCATGTTCATTTCCATCTCAGCCTCAACAGACATAAACATGCAGTGAAAAAATTTACTTTCAATTGGTTTTTTGCACCAAAGATTTGATAAACCAGTTTTATTATTATAAACCACGGTAAACTAATGATGGTAAAGAGCCGCGCTGGGTTAACTCAGGGAATCTCATCTGTTCATGTATCAATCAACTCCATACCATTTCTTTGTTCTGTCACACAAGTATTGATTTATTCCATTTTGATTTCATGCTCCAAACTTTGCAAGGACTGATTTCTCTGCTCACCCGCTTCCTCACACACACAAAGCCAGCAGGCCAGTAACCTTCAATCCATACCTGATGTCACGCCCACATCGACGTGACATCAGGTACAAACCACGCAGCTGTCAAAGCCTCATACAGAACAGTGTTGTGAGGGAACGCAAAAGAAAAAAAAATTCCATGTCCCCTGGAGGACTCAGTAATAATGCAAGCACATCCTGACAAAAATAGTTTCTTTTCAAAGGAACACAGGTAAACAAACAAAACCAAAATGGGCTCTCAGTCGCCGTTAACAAAAATGCACTATAATAAAAACTAAACGCAACATAAAACCAAATTGGAAATAAAAACTACATTCAGCCAAAAGAGTACAGATTATGATGTCTGTTTACGATACAGACTTTTTATTGTCCTTCAGTAATCATTAGTTTTAGATGGAGAAGATGATCAGTTATGCAATAGTTCACTCCTTCCTTACGCTAAGGAGATGAGGAAGGGAGGCATCAGTGGAGAGCACTGGAGGTGAGCCTTTTATCATATAGTGTCATTTTTTTAAAAAAAAGGAAAAGGCAGGAAGAACCAATTAAGCTGATAAATTAAAATGAGGTTGATCATTTTCATTTATCATGCAAGTAACTGATTTATTGTGTATTGTGACAGGCACATGTGTATGTGTGTTGTCGTGGGAAAAATGTATTTCCAAGCACTGTTCGGGTAAAATGACTCAGTCAGGTTTATTCATGAATTGTGCACAATTCAGAAAGCTCATAAGATAATCAATAATCAAGCTAGTCTTGATGCAAGCCTCGCAAAATCCGCAAAGCTCCCCCAGCCAGGGACTACATATAAGTTTTATACAATGATAAGGAATGAAAAACATGAATGAACAAACAAGTTTCCCATGCAGCTGTGGGAAACAACCTTCCAACCTCGTACATGTAACCCAAATAGTTCTTTTGGTGAGAGTTCACAAACATTTCATATGACATGACTAGCAGATGTGACCTTATTGTAATCTTTTCCGTAACAGTGTATAAATGGTGTAACACAAAAGTTATGCCACATTTCTGCAGATATTTAAATATATCTTTTCATGGGACAACACTGACAAAATGACACTTTGACACAATGAAAAGCTGTTGTACAAGCTGTGTGCAGCTTGTACAACAGTATAAATTGAATCTTCTCCAAATAACTATGTATAGCTAGTAGCGTCTAAACTGCCAGCAATAAAAGTCAGTACACCCCTAAAAGACTACACCACTCAAAGTCCAAACTGAACACTGCTTGTCATTTTCTCCTCCAAAATGTCGTGATTAGTTGGTGTTACAAGGCTTAAGGTGTGAATACAGAGCAGCTGTGTTAGATTTTCTAGTACACCTCTCATACTGGTCACTGAAAGTTGTGCTATGTGAAAATGACCAAGACTGCGAGAGGATTTCCAACCCCCTGAAACTGAGCTGCAGCACAGAAGCCAATATCATCCAGCATATTTAGCTGGGTCCACTCAGAACAGACGTCGCTTTGGTCATCCAAAGAAGCTGAGTGCACGTGATCAGTATTATATCCAAATGCTGTCTTTGCAGCAATGCTGACAGAACTCCTGCAACCTGTCTTTCAGAGATTGAAGAGGTTGTCTGTCCGTCTGTCCATACTTAGTTACCATAGTTGGTTGACAACTAAAAGCTGTCAATATTTCATATATATTTGGAATTGTTCAGATTATTTTAGTAACTGTTAGAGCCTCCAATTAATTGGAGTAACTAAGAACCCAACCGATGCTTGATGGAGGTTTATTGTTCTGAATTATCCTGTCATTCGAGATATCTTTAATTAGAATTGTGACTAGTCAAAACTAAAATTGGCATATCTTGAATTTATTTTTTGACTTGTCATAATTTAATTGTAGATATGTGAAATGTGTATTTCTTGTTTCTGTAGCTTTCTCTCTGGAGAACGGTCCTCTGAAGTGAACCAATCACAGACGCCAGGAGAAAACGTTCTTTACGGTGATTTGCTGAAGCTTCTGTCAGTCATTTGTGGAGGCGTGTCTACTCGCTGCAGCTGTCAGATTGGGAGCCGCCTTCATCCCAAACAGCAACAACAAGAGCTTAGAGAGCAAAAAAGACAGAGGAATGTCGTCGCCTGTGTAGTGCAGTGCTTATAGGACAGAGGTAAGAAGTATATTCGCCCAATAAATCATTTCAAACAGCATAAACGGTTAGAAGGGTACGGCTTACCGCGCCCCAAGATGTGTTTTTAGCATGCAGGTATGATAACGTAACAGTCAGCTGGCAATGACGATGAGGGAATCCGGATACCAGCTCGCTTTGTCCGCCTTTTCATTTTACGCAGCCACGGCTTTGGATTTTGCGCCGTCGTATTTCGCTTCAAATGATCTGGTATTGATGGAAGAGACGAATCAATCCGTTTGGAGACAGTACAGAGGCGTAACAAGAAAATCTATGGGCAAGGTTCGCCAGCCGCTGCTGTCCACCTCCCCCCACAGCTCCACATCCCCCTTTCCAATACAGATTACCTTTTCAAAACTGATATTTCATTCATTCATTCCAAAGGACATTAGAATACATATCAAATCATACCACTGTTATGCATGTAGGATAAATTAGGATGTTGTAATTAGATGGTTTAGGGTGGATACTCCAGGCCAGACAGGACGCATAACGTCAGAACTGTTTGGTGACGTAATAACAGGGCAAATTTATGGGAAAATAGGAATACAGGAGCATGGCACAAAATGGGTAAAATATGGTAGTTTCCCAGTCAAAACATGAGAATTGAGAGGAATGTTGTGTAGTGCTTTCAGACTTTGAACCTATAAGATCCAACTTTGCAGTTCAAATATTGATGATTTCATTCAATCAAAAATAAAATCATGTCAAACAAACAAACAAAAAAATTGTGATCAAAACTTTTGAATTTACAAAAGAAAAAATTTCAAAGAAAAATCTGAATGAAAAAAATTTAACTGGTCAAAACTTTTTGTATTGTAATATTGTTACAATATTATTGCAATTAAAATCACAAATTTTAAGCCTACTTTATCTAGTGCTAACATTAGCTAGCACAATATGCTAACTGGGAACGTGGCAGACAAGATATGTAACTGTCATCATAAGTTGTGTCAGACTTCTTTGAAAAAAAGGTGGACACTTTAGTTTTCTTTTAAAAGGTGTAATTTTGTGAAGATTACTTAGCATTCACATTGTGTGTCCTGTCACCGAAGCGAAGCAGAAAGCCTAACCCCAACCCTTGCATTTCAGGAGAGTTCTGAGAAAGCAGGCAGTCACTCATCCACTTTAGTCAGCGCTAGCCAACAGGGCCACGTCTTTCATCGTTCATCTCTAGGGCCCTCCCAGGATAATCGAGTGAAGATCGCAAGCAAAACTTGAGTTCAATAAAAAAAAGGGGAGCATAAAAGAAAAC